ACATGAATAGAAATGCTGCATGGCCAACGGACAAGGGCGGACACCAGAAGTGACAGACTTGGGAGATGAATAGACATGCTGCATGGCCAGCGGAAAAGGGCGGACACCACCAGTCAGACCTGGGAGACAAACGAATAGAAATGTTGCATCGCCAGCAGAAAAGGGCGGACACCAGCAGTGACAGACCTGGGAGACAAATGAATAGAAATGCTACATGGCCAGCGGAAAAGGGCAGACACCAGCAGTGACAGATGTGGCAGACAAATGAATAGAAATGCTACATGGCCAGCAGAAAAGCCAGCGGAAAAGGGCGGACACCAGCAGTGACAAACCTGGGAAACAAATGAATAGAAATGTTGCATCGCCAGCGGAAAAGGGCGGACACCGCAAGTGACAGACCTGGGAAACAAATGATGAATAGAAATGTTGCATCGCCTGCAGAGAAGGGCGGACCGGCAGTGACAGACCTGGGAGACAAATGAATAGAAATGTTGCATGGCCAACGGAAAAGGGCGGACGCCACCAATGACAGACCTGGGAGACAAAAGTCTTGAGGCCAGGGGAGGAGGTCGAAAGCTAGCCGAGTCGCACCGGATGTACTAGTTACATAGTCGGCAAAGCATGTATATAGTGATTACATGTTTTGGGAGAAAGGTTGCTACGTACATACTTTGCGCTGAAGAATGTAAACGTTACATCGCCGACTGGGAAGGGTACATTATAACAACACGGGCGCACTCGTTGGCAGGCACGAAGATGCATGATCGGCAAATCTGGGGGGGGTAAATTTACCCCCCGCTTTTGTATGCCTTGAGTCGAGAAGAGGGGTAAGCATTTCTGACATCACACGGACTGTACATACACTAGGGCGTCCGTAGCGTAGGAGGAGCACGGGTAAAAGGCATATGGAATATAGAGTGTCTTGAGGAAATAGCCGGCTTATGGTTATTGCAATTCTGGGGGTTAAATTTACCCCCGCTTATGTATGCCTTGCGCCGGAAAGAGGGGTAAGCATTTCTGGATATTTCTGGCATCTGGCATCACAAGGACTGTGCATACACTAGGGCGTCCGCAGTGTAGGATAAGCGCTGGTAAAAGGTATAAGGAATAGAACGTCTTGAGGAAATAGCCGGCTTATGGTTATGACAACTCTGGGGGGTAAATTCACCCCCCCGCTTATGCATGCATTAGGTTAGAAATAGGTGTAAAGAACTTGTAACAGTGAAGTACAAGTCCTATGCCGCAAGCAGCAGCCAGCAGCAACAGCAGCAGCAGCAGCAGCTGCAGAAGCACAGCAACCGCCAGCAGCCAGCAGCCAGCAGCCAGCAGCAACCACCAACCAGCAGCCAGCCAGCAGCACCACGCAGCAGCAGTGCAGCACCAACCCGCAGCAGCAGCAGCAGCAGCAGCAGCAGCACCACCACCAGCAGCAAGCAGCAAGCAGCAGCAGGAGCAGCGGTGTCGTCAGCAACAGCAGCAGCAGCACCAAGCCGCAACAAGTAGCAAAGCAGCAGCTACAAAAGCGGCAACCAGCGGCAGCAGCAAACAGCAGCAGCAAGCAGCAGAGCGGCAGCAGCAGCACCGTTTACACCAAGCCCCCGTCTACACCCAACCAACCACGTTCACACATTCAACCAACCCCCGCTACACGGCGCGCCGCAGGTGGGAGTCGAACCGTGGGGGGGTGAAGGGAGAGGGGGGGGTGGTTAGCGTGATATATCACACTAAGGCGGGGGGCCTGGCCCCCCCCCTTAGTGTGATATATCAAGCTTTAAGGCACACAGCTCATCCCACTACCAATTGCTAAAGCAAAGAAGAATTCAGCTAGCATGCTAGCTTTCGTGAATGGAAATGCTACATGGCCAGCGGAAAAGGGCGGACACCAGCAGTGACAGACCTGGGAAACAAACGATTAGAAATGCTACGTGGCCAGCGGAAAAGGGCGGACACCAGCGTGACAGACCTGGGAAACAAATGAATAGAACAATAGAACTGTTACGTGGCCAGCGGAAAATGGCGGACACCAGCAGTGACAGACCTGGGAGACACATGAACAGAATTCCTGCATGGCCAGCGGAAAAGGGCGGACACCACTAGTGACAGACCTGGGAGACAAATGAATATAGACGTCGCATCGCCAGTGAAAAAAGGGCGGACACCAGAAATGCTGCACGACCAGCGGCCAGTGGAAATGGGCGGACACCAGCCCCGACTACAAGCATCCAGTCTGGGAGACAAATGAAAAGAACTGGGATACAATTAAAAGGAAATGGGAGACAAGTCAAGGAAGTAGGAGACAAGCCAGCCGACCACAAGCACCCAGCCTGGGAGACAAATGAAAAGAAGTGGGAGACAAATGAAAGGAAGTGGGAAACAAGCCAGCCGAAAACCCCACCACAAGCACCGAGCCTGGGAGACAAATGAAAAGAACTGGGAGACAAGTGAAAAGAAGCGGGAGACAAATGAAAGGAAGTGGGAGACAAGCCAGCCGGGAACCCGACCACAAGCACCCAGCCTGGGAGACAAATGAAAAGAGTGGGAGACAAGCCAGCCGGGAACCCGACCACAAGCGAGACAAATGAAAAGAACTGGGAGACAAATGAAAGGAAGTGGGAGACAAGCCGGCCGGGAACCCGACCAGACTATCCAGCACCAAGGCGACCATTCTTTAAAGCATTGAGAACCCCTAACAGTATACTGTTTGGGGAAAAACTGAACTTCAGAAGTTTTGAGGGACGGGTCCTGGTTTTGTTCGGAGAAGATCCATGGAAACGGTGGGGAGTGGTTGGAAAACGCTGTTCTCGAGCCCAGCGGTTCCGAGCCCAGCTGTTCCGAGCATGCCCAGTGACCCGACCGACTCCCTTCGCGGCTGCCCACCGCACGACGGTGTCTTTGTTGCTCAGAGATGTCAGCAGTAGTTCCACCACTTCTTCGACCTGCACGGCACTGAAGCAAGGGCAAAGCCTTTGTTACTAGTAGCTTCTATTGCTACAATAGTAGTAATGGCTTCCAAACTACTAGCAATGGCCTCCACCCTAGTAGCGATGGCCTCCAACCTTGTAAGTAGAGAGGAAGGGAGGGAGGCATCTGAGGGCTAATCTCACAAGAAATTGAAATACTCCTGGCAATGAGGGCTTCTTCATGCCTCTTCTGGCGCATCTTCCTCATCCTCCTCTTCCTGCACAGAAAACCGTTCCAAGGCTCTTCCTGGAGCCGACTTCGAAGTCGTTTTAGAGGACGCAATACTAGAGGATGCTTCTTGACATCTCTCCATCTTTTTACCAAACCTGCACCGAACACCCCCCCCAACCCCCCCCCCCAAACCCCCCCCCTCCGCCACAGCTGTGCTTACACCTGCCGCTTGAGAGGCCACCGCGCCCGTGGCTCGAGCGAAGTTCACCAAGAGCGATCGCTGACCGCGGGCGTAGCGCCAGGGTGCTAAGCGTACGGGTAAGACCACCAAAGCTGCACGGCAGGCGACCGCCACTCTCAGCCTGAGGTTAAGTTGAAGTGACCTGAAAAAGGATCCCACTGCGGCACCTATGGGATGATCTATTAGGGTCCTTCCACCTCTCTTAGCTGTGTTGTGGAACGGTGAATCACACGGAAAAAGCTGGACGGATATAGTATAGCCAGTGTCCGCCGGTCGTCGCCGAATCTCCTCGTGTGCATCCAAAGTCCATGTAAATGGCAGTTCTATGTCACACTTATCGCATGGGTCCAACAACAAGAAAACCCTCTCATTGACCATGTCTGGCCTTCCGTTCAGTTGTGCCGGGAACCATGCCGAACCTCAAACAAGCATCGAGACCATTCAGAATCGCCACCATACTATGATAGGATATCAATGACAATCATATATCATCATATATCAATCACTGCCATATTCGGAATCGCTATATGATAATCATATACCTACCACTCAAGTCACGTCCCCTCCTTCCCTCCTTCTCTGTCTCGGCACTTCCTCAAGTTGGAAGATCCAAAATCATCATCCTGGCGGCCACTGGGGCCATCCAAAACCAGTCGAAGGACTTGGGACCACAAGCCACTCATCACCTCAGGTCGTGACCGTCTCAGCGAAGCGAACACTCGGCCGACTTTGGAGAAGAATGGTGACGAACACGTCCTTCCTCTGAGGAACCACAGTAGCACAATGAAGCTTTCCGTGGCACAAGTTCCCACTCGAGACCAGTTAACCCGAGCACCCAGTACCAGTACAGTTCCAAATCCACCATGTTCCTTTTCTCTCACTTGCCCTTCCTCCCGATGTCTCTTTGGCTCCGGCACCGTGCGGGGCGCCAGCTTCAAGGTCTGATTCCACGCCTGGAGTGCCCCACTGCGGGCGAAGGCAGCTCCAGTGCAGGTCTCTTCGGCCCAGAGCTCTTTGGTCCAGGCCACGAAGGACTGCAACGCTCCTCCAGCGTGCGTTCTCCGACCGTCGAACGGCTCGGGGGTCTAGGCGGCTTGATTGTCGACCCCCGCGGCGGACCCGTGAGCCGGGATCTGGTTGGACTGGAGGCGAAGAAAAAGCATGGCTTGCTGCAAGAAAGAAGCACCCACATGAATGGCTCATGAGGTCCAATAGATTCAATAGATGTCCTCTAGGAGTTTCACAGCAGGGTGAGACAAGCAAGCTGGCTCACAGTACCAAAGATGTCCAATGTGTCTCAGAGATGTCGACGCGACAAACAAGGACCTGCAGAACTAGGGTGCCCCCATTCAAAGTCCATTCAGAATCTCCACATCATACAGTACCTTCACCTCTTCCAGAAACCTCATGGACTTCCCTCCAAATCCCCAGAAACCACCTCACTACAGGAATCCCGATCTGCAGGGTCTTCAACCGCTCGGTCCCGAAAAAAGCGCTCGGTCCCGGCTCGGTCCTGTGGAGCTCACATCGGGCCGACCGAAGAACTTCGCCAGCATCCAAGCCTTGGAGGGCGCGGCTCTTCGGAAGCCTCAAAAACCATATATTACCGCAGGGGTTGGGGATTTACCCCACTAGGATCCATTGGGGGAAATTTAAAAAATTGCCAATGAAGCAAAGCCAGGAAGCGGAGGCGTCCCGCGTCCGGCTGGTGCTGCGTAGCCCCTTCAGCCCGAAGGTGAGAATCCGACTGCCTCGTGTCGCAGGCCGCTGACAGGTCACGCGGCGAGGAAGATGCGTTGCGTTGGACCCAAGGGGCACAGGCGGGACCCGAGTTTTAGGAGCCATAATCAAGAAACAACACACCCACAAACTTGGCAATTGCCAAGCCTATCTTTCTCTGCATCTCCACAAACCCTCCTGCCTTTTCTTTGCCTTTTTGACAGCCCAGGAACTCAGAGAAGCATTGGACTCATGCCCGGAGTCAATGCTTACAAGGTCAAACGGAGTCAGAAGTACCTCGGTTCATCTCACTTCGGGTCCTTCCCCAACCCCTTCTGGTGCTGAAGGGAATGTTGGCGGAGCTACCTGACTGCGGAACCGGGCTGAAGGGGGTGATTCGACTGGCTGATCTGACCTCACCTCCTTTTCGTGCCAAAAACAGAACCATGCCCTGTCGCGCGTCCAACCATCACGGTGCCACAGAGACTGCTCCGATGGAGTTCGGGCCGCTCTCACCCCCAGCGATCGGTCGCGTTCCGAGTGGTCTCACGTTCAACGTCTGAGGACCTTCGCGGTCTGGGAAGAAGCAAAAGACCAGATCAATCAGATCACGTGCCACCAGAGGCACCATGCCCAGCCAAAGCGTGAAGCAGTAGAGAGTGGCCCAAGTTTCAAGCCTCTCCTTGCTCGCCTGCATGTGCACAGTGTTGATGTCATGAAGAGCAACTCTTGACCCTCTCTGTCATCGGTTGCAGCAGACCTTTCTTCTGAAAAGAGCTGGAATTGGTTCGAGGATATGATTAAGGTATATCGGTATCCTATTACCAGCAACAGTGGCTTATGATGGTCAGCAAAGGCCTTTCTCTAAAATAATGATAGTTGTTTACCGACTGTTACAGGTGATAGGACAAACCCAAGGCATAGTACTGTAAATACCAATTGTTTGAGAAGTGTGGATGGTGAACCTTCAGTTCATCGTCCAGCTTTTTCCCTGTCTGCGGTCTGTGTCTCCCTCCCATCCTGCCGATAGCACCTCTTCTTCAGCTGCTTCCAGACATACTTCCAGGTCAGCCGCCTCGTGTGGAAAAAAGCCGCACCACCGTCTTGTAGCCTCCCATAGAAGTGAAGAGTGGCGTGGTTGTGGGAGGGGGTGCAGGATCTCTGAAACAGCTGAACGCGCAGTAGGCTCAAACCTTCGAGAAAAGTCGTCCAATCAGGCCAAGTTCCAATCCGGGAGTACCTAGGAAAGGCCTTTCTACTGCTTGGCACTTAGGGATCGACATAGATGGCTTCAGATTGAGACCAGAACAATGGGTTCAGTGTTCCCTACATCGCTGTGGCCCCTAAGGCATCCATGGCTCATGACTTGCGGCCTGCCTAGAGGCCTAGAGGAGTCGAGGGTGTCAGGCTGTCAGGCCAATCCCTGTCAGGGCCTTCAGATCCGATCCACTGCTTTAGGGACCCCCCTGCAGGACCAAAAGACCATCTTATCGACCCACTCCTTTCCCCGCGCGTTTGAAGCGCAAGCTCAACGCTTGAAGCGCAAGCGGTTTCTTCCACTCCGCACAGCCTCTCACAGTGGTCAGCAAATAGAGCAAGGAACTGATCAAATGGAGCCGGACGCCTCGACACCAGCGACTCCAGCGACCCGTCGCGCCGGTACCCCCCTTTTCCAGGTCGACCGTCGGACGGAACGGGACGGGACGGACCGTGATGGGCCTTGTGGCTCCGTGGATCACGGCCACTGGGGCTCTGCAAAACACCCCGAGACGGCCACCAGTTGAGAAGGGGGGGTGAACCTACCGATTTTTGCTTCGAGAACGGTGTGATTCACATGATGAAGCTCGCAAAAAAGCTGAGGCGACGATCGGCGGGATTTGACATGCGGTCGTTTCCGAAAGATCTGGCTGCAATGGCGCCGACGGTGAGGTGACGCTGGCAAGTTCGTGTGACTGGGATTCGTGTGCTGAGAAATGGGTGTCCATCCATCAGAAAGGAGAAAGTTGCTGCAAGCAAACACACTGATTCAACCCGAAGATTTAGGAATCCTTGACTCCTCCGTGGCAGGGGTCGGACCTGACCTCTTTGGGGTCCGGACCCAAACCAAACCCTGTGTGTTGGTTCGGGCCTTGATTCTTAGAGTCTTAGAGAAGATGTATTCAATCTGTGGTCTCAGGGTTGAAATCGAACGTGAAATAAATCGTACTGATGCTCACCCGAGATAGAGTTGAGATACCCCTGGCCAAGCCATTCTAGAGGTCTTGGACACTAGCTTGGGCACGTTTCAGGGTGGGTTTCACCCCAGAGAAAGCCTCGACGAATCAAGTCCGCAAAAAGAGCTCCACGAATCGACGTTGTGGTGAAGACATCGACTCGTGGAATGCTGGAACAGGCGCTGCATGTCTTCTTCGGATCACAACAACGCAACACTTCGACTCGTGGCTGTAGTCACCGTAACCTGCTTCTATGACAAAAGAGGCCTCACTCTGCTTTTGAAGGGATGCAATATCCCACTGAACTTCCTCACCAAGCCAGAACTTCCCATGTTTCATCATACTCCACCACTATCAGGAGTATAGATTCAAATGAGTCATACTTCTCATCCCAGGCTCTATCCACTTGCCTTTGGTGGGCGGCTCTGGCGACCGTGGACATCAGTGGCTCGACCATCTCCTCCAAAAACGGATCGAGCAAGGCCGGCTGCTCCTGGCGCGGTTTTTCCAGGGCCCTCCGTCCTTCTCTGTCCAGGTCCGTCTGTCAGTTGGACGACCCGTGAGGAAAAAGAACCCGGATGGAGCGCATTTGGAAGAGATCATCGTCTTGGAATTCGAGATAAAAGGTAACGCCATTTGGAAGCGAACACGCCGCGAACACGCCCGGTGTCTGAGACCCACGAACCGGTCTCAACCACGTCGGGTTCTAGAGGAACTACACCATGCCGTTCGCCCGGTTCGGGTCTCACACACCGGGTGTAGCCAAGGCAAAATCCAAAGCTACTATATAGTAACAAGTGCATTACTAGTAGCAAGAAGCTACTAGTAAGAAGTTAAGGATCCTAATGCATCCAGAGTTGGAGTTGAGAGACGTCTCCCCTCATCTATCCGGGCGCCAATGATCCTCGAAGCGGCGCTGCTTCAGCGGTGTGACGTGCCCGCTGCTTCAGCGGTGACCGTCCCTCGATTGTCGAGTGCAAGATCTGGAGAGACTGACACCCCAACACTCCATGGGACTGCGATAGAATGTCTATCAGTTGGGGTGGCTTCAGGGGGGTCAATGGGGCGGCATCTCTTCCAGTCACGTAGAGTCTTTGGAATCTCACCGCCGCGATGCCCTGCGCCCTTCCGCCGCGAACGCCACGAGGCATGCGTTCTGAACCGGGAACTTCCGGGAACTCCGGGGTCTCCGGGATCAGTGGGATCAATGAGGAGGAGCCCAACAAAAAAAACATCGAAAACCCCAGAAGTCCAGTCCAACTACAGTTGGGCACCACCGAAGTGTGAAATTGCCGGCACCACTCGTATCAACTTGTCAGACCTGGACTTGACCAGAATAAACATCAAAAACACCTTCAGAGACCAGGTTTGGGGGGTTCTTGGTGTGCTTGTTGTTTTTTTTTCCCCATCTTGGTATCCGCATCTTCCTCTGGTCCCTCTCAGGGTGTTCAGGATCCAGGATCACCTTGGAAGTGTGTTCGTTGCTATGAAACAACATGGGGAGCTGTGGTTCTCCTGAGTGAGAGGCTTCTCCATCCAGATCTGACACCATACATCAAACAAAGCCATCAGTAAGTCATGACCATCGGTTGACACAAGAACCAGAAAGTCGTTATAGTATATGAACGAACCAGTGTCTCAGTGGCTCTTTCTTCCTTCACTACGCACATATATAGAAAGATGAAGGAGATGCTTTTCACAAGACACGAGACAAGAATGACTTGGCTGCTACTGTAGTGCTCCGGGCGTTTTTTTGTTGCACGGAATGTCGAAGGTAAACCCTCATCGACCCAGTCAACCGAAAGCTGAGTTGCAAACCCAGTAGATTGAACCTTCAATCCCACAGTTTTTTGTCTCTCGCGGAACGGTAGTGACTTCTCCTGATATTGACTCCAGATTTGCCCAATGCGTTCGCAGTTCTCTTTGCAGGTCTTCATTGGCACATCCAGGTCCACCGCCTTCTTCAAGGCCTCGCGGACCTCTTCAATCTCCTTGGTTTTTCTGCCGGCGGGGCTGGTCCTTGAAGCAAAATCCCCCCCCAAAAAAAGACCATAGGATCCCCCCATAGGATCAACTATAACGTCGAGTATACTGGGTCTTTACAGCAGGTGTGATAGTTTGTGGCCATGGCCAGCCATAGACCCCTTCAGTTTGCAATGGATGTCAGCTCCGAGATCTCCCAGCTTTGGGGGGGAACCGCCTCCCCTACTTATCATCCCGCCGAATTTTGCTGACCCTGTGTCCGGAAAAAGCTCCATCCAGAAAGTCTCTCACTTGGGGCGAAAGATGTGTCATCTGTATTTGTTCAATTGAGAGGTATATATAATAAGCATGAAAAGTAGCAAAAGGATCCTGCAGCATTCCAAAGCTTCATTGAAAAAGTCCTTTTTATTGGCCACAATCTCCTCGCCCTCCTCCTCCTCAGCCTCCACAACACCACTGGCCCCGCCCACGGCAAGCTCGTCGTTGCTCGTCAAGGTGGCCATCGTGCGGAAAATCACATCGGTCAGAAGCAAATCATCCGAATCGGGCGAGGCATGTCTTCGCGTGACTTGCGAAGTTAGTTAAGTGCTCCCACTGTGCCCAGAACTGGGCTCAGCTTGTTCTGCAGATGAGGGTGCGGGTATTATATATATGGGTTAAACCCGGGGTACCTGGAGGGGTTGAAAAAACACCAGCGAAGAAGTTGTTCTCTTCCGTCTTTCCATGATCCCAATGTCTTCGTCACCGAAGCAGTGGTTGATTGATCTACACCAGGCTGCCACGCGTTTTGTGTCTTGGTTTTTTGGGTGCCGAGTGCCGGGTGGGAACTGATGTGTCTCAGCACATGAAATTTCAGATTTCGGCTGATGAAAGTATGTCTCTCAAGTCTGTGTTGATCAAAATTCAACATTGCTGTCTGCGTCATCAAGCTGTTGATGATGCTGATGTGTAGGTGAGAAGCAATCAAGGAATTCAATAATCGGCCCTCATTCATGTGGACATAGAAACTACCTTCATGTCCAAAATGTGATGCTAGGTCCAGAAGTTGAGGTCGATGTTCCACATGGCCTCTCCATGGGAGCACACAGGTTAATGAAAATCCTCTACGGATCTAAACAAGCTCTGCTACCACCTTGTATTCTCATCTGATCTGAGAAATTCTGAGAATCTGGTTAATATCTACAAAGGAGAGTATACTACTATCAGGTCGTATATGTTCATCTTTCACCAATGGGCACCCACCTGGCCATCCGTTGAGGGGAACCGTCCCAATCAAGTCTATGAGATCGGGTTCGGCCGGCCGTCCGGGTGATCTGAACCTAGAGCCCATTTGTTGAACCTTTGTTTCAATAGACCAGGAGTCACAGAGCTCGGGGTGGTGTTCAGTCCCTAAGTGGCACCCCTAACCGAACGTTCGGCACCCCGAGACTGTCCATTGGAGGTCACTCGGGCGCCAGGAGGTCAAAGTCGACGGTCACATCTTCCAGGTCTCACTTGTCCGATTTGTGTAGGAAGTAGAGGGACAAATATGTTGCACCACCCGTACCAGTACATTGCATTTTTTTGAGCAGGCGTAGGCAGGCGTAGGTGGGGCGGGATATATGTCGCTTCAGCTTTAGTGTAGCACGGTGACAATGACCTTTCAGAAAAGCAGCAAGTGTCCTTAAACTCTTCAGCAGGATGCTTAACTTCCTGCGCACTTCGGTCTTGTAGGGGCGACATGGGTTTTCTGGCCCCACTCAGTGGGTTTTGAACCTCTGAAGGCCAGTGTCGAACCTAAAAGCCTCTGCTTTAGGGTTCGAATCCTATTTATGGGTAGCTAGCAGGCTGAGACCCTCAGATCCCTCAGTTGGCTGAGCAATGGAAAGAAGCATGTACTGTAAGTCCTGTGGATGGTTGACATCGTGTTGACGATTCGTTGTTCGTTTCATGTCCACGTGTCTCTGATGAACAAGAATACACTGGACCTGTCAGACGCACCCTTGGCGCCGGTCAAGCACACCGGTGTCATGAACCTCATTGGAGATTCGTTTCACCACAAAAAACAACTAAGGAAAAAACAAAGACAAGGGAGCAAAAGCATGCAAAAGCACCTAAGTAACAAACTGGTTTGACACCCCCCCTTTTTTTGTAGACCCCCAAATGGACTCCATCCCTAAACCATCCCAGCAGCCCCTCCTTCCCACCGCATCCTGGGCTGCCGCGCCCCGGTGATCACCGAGAACTCGGTGGCTCCCTGAAGCTGCTCCGCCTGTCCGGACCGGCGGGGCGGTGACGGTGAAACACCGGGTGGCACCGCGTGTAACCACGGTCGGTTCGGCTTCAGACCTCGGTGGACCTCACCGTGACGATGAAAAAACGGATATTATAAGTCATTCGAAGGTCTCTTGGGGAAGCATTTTTTGGGCTTGAGATCACCGTGACTCTGTGGTTTTGAATATGTATTGATGCTTTCCACCCACGAGAAGAAACCGAGAGAGAAGACGGCTGCGCACGGCGGGGACAGTGTGGAATTTTGAGAAAGTCATGATGCAATATCCCAAGCAACAAGTTCTTTTTGTTGGACTCTCCAATTGCAAATGCCCTGGCTCTCACCGTTCGCTCCCTGTGAAAAGCCGCCCCCGACCCGCGCCCCCGCGCCTCGTGGGAGGGCGTCTCCACCGTAGAACCCAGGATGTTGATTCGAGCTGGCGCGGGACCGTCGGCGGCTGAAGCGACGTGGGACGTTGGCGACTCCAAGGAGCACCGTGCTGTTCCGTGTTGAGCACGGTGCGCGATCCCCGTCGAACGGTGGGGGGGGGCAGTGGCCAGTCAGCTCGGAAGGAGCCCGTTTTCAGCACCCTATAGCCGTGACACAGGGTTGAACCCATCAAAATAGACCAGCAGAGCCAAACCTTGTTCCTGCACGAAAGCTGGGACCCAAAAACGGAGCTGGGACCCCATCAATCAGCCAAGCTGGATAGTTGGTACTGATGTCTTCACGGAAAACAACTCCACAGGCTACTGATTGCAGAGCAGGCTATACGTAGCTGTGTGCAGAGCAAACACCTCACTGAACCTCACCGAACCACTGGAATCGCTCGATCGCACGCGATCGGCTCCGTCGCCGAACCACCCCGGGCGCACATGCGATCGCGCGGGCGGTGTCCGGATGGTCGCCCGTGACCATGACCACCTGGGGGAAGGGGAAGGCTCTGAGGAGGCCATCGCTTCTAGGAGGGTTCGGAGAAGTATGCGAGCGTTGGGGAGGCCATCGCGTTTGTAGGTTGGGGGCCAGAAGCTACGAACCTCACAAGAAGATTGACTGAAGAAATTGGATGCATCGGATTAAGATGAAATCTGAATCGTCCTTGCGGAGGTCGGTCAGACTGTGACCCGTCTTCCGCAGTAGTGCCCTAGTGTCCTAGTGGTCAGACTGGTATGTTCCCATGTTCTATCTAGTCGATGACCATCTTAGCCGTAACAAGTAACAAGCCTTTGCCTTGTGGTTTTTGGATGTTTTTGGATCCACCAGTGATTTGGATCATGACTGATCGGGGCATATCGTTGGCGATACCCTGCCATGCCATTGTAGAACATCTCCGACATGAAAAATTGGAACACTCATTTCTGTCCACTTCAATAACCACAACCCGTGTGGCGTGCCAAGAAATTGTCGATCTGGCATGATCTAGCCAACTACCGGAAATACAACGGAAGTGGCGCTGAGGCTTCTCCCACCCACTTCTCCAGAAAAATGCTCAAGCAACTTGCTGGGCGTGCGGAAAATGCATTGAAACTTTGTTGCGAGTCTTCGATCGCCGACAAGATGGTAAACAGCAACATTGATGCAGCTCTGCCAACAACCACTCGGCTTTCCTTGAATCCAGAGTAGCAGGAGGAAACATGAACAATAAAATCACTGAACCTCAGGTGATCTAGGAAGCAACAGAGAGTTGAGTAACCCCCCACCCCCCACGGTCCGCAGCCCACGGTCCGCAGCCGCCGGTACCGCAGCCGTCAGCCGTTGCTGGCGCCTTCACACCGGCTTTCTGTGCATCAACCACCGCCTCCGCCACGCCCTTCTTCGGCGGGTCCTCTCAGTCCACACGTGGCACCCGACGTGGTCCCGAAGAGGAACGTCAGGTCCGGGTTCCGCGTGCCAGGACCCCACAGCCCAAATTTTTGGTCAACCCCGGGATGGAAGGGAACGAGGTCAGACTGGGACCTGAGATAAAAGAGGTCGGTTTTGAACCAGGGAGGTTGGAAGAGGGGTGGATGGACTGCACACCCCATCCAGAAACAGGAGGTGCCTTCCTGGAGAGCCCAAAAAGAGTCTGCTTTGCAGTTGATGCTTATCAGGACGAAGAACTGTAAAATCTATCAACTTTTCTGGCCTATATCACCTTTACTTGGACTGGAGGTGACAGAAGATTGTGCTTTTCCTCTTGAATCAACCAGTTACACTTGGAGGTGGCCGATCAAAGAACTTGATCAATCTATACGTGGCCTCTTTGCGCCTTGCTTGTCCAAAATCAAGTAAGATTGCAGTGGGTCAAATCCCTGCTTCAAATTCCAAGCTGGTGTGCGTTTGTATCAAAAGAAGAAGAATCCCCAACCAGCCGGTGAGCTCACCCTTTTCCGCTCTCACCCAGAGAGACCAAACTATGGTGTGGATGGATTGACTTCCAGGTGGAGTAGTTCATGAGTCTAGTCCCGGACGTCCTGGGATTCGACTACTCCATGAAGTTCCTCCGACCACTGTTCAACCCTACTCTCGGCGGTCTGACCCCGCCTCGATGCCGTAGAGGCCGACGAACTTGAAGTCCTTCATGGGGAAGTTGCCTCAAATCCACGGCCAAACAGGAGGATGCATGGCACCAGGAGGCATGGTGGATCATGGCACCAGGAAGGTCAACCGGTTGACCGTCGCTGGTGTCGGAGTAAAACATGGTGGACCAGGAAAACCAGGGCTCCAGGTACCTCACGACCCGCAGCCACATGTGTGGGGCTTCCCCAGAATTCTTGGAGGTCTCCAAACACTGGTACCAGTAGGACCTGTCGGGGGCTGTGCGGCGCCTGGAGAGTTCATGTCCGAGGGCACCTATCACTAAGGTCTGCTTGGATGATTTGATGGCACTACATGAGTGTGTATTTAATGGCCTTCTTCCAGAAAATCCTTGGGAGGTCTCCCTGTCTTAATACACGCCAAATGCTGTGATTGAACAAGTCAACCAAGGAGAGGCAGATGGCCTTTGATCATTTTTTTGATCCGAACCCTTTGTAGCCAGTCAAAAAGCCGCAAGATCCACATCGGAGGTGGGCACGGAGCTGGGTCATGATACCCAGGTCGACCCGTCTATGTTCCATTTAAACCTGAACAGACAGAGCTTTGGTTTGAGGTGCCTTCTTTGACCCAGCCAGACAGTATTCTTCGATGTGCTTGGGGTCGAGCCCCACAAAGGCCGGCCCGAGGGGTTCGAGCCATTCGTGGACCAAGCCGGTCCAAGAGTAGCCAGTTGGGTGCTTCTCAAAAAAAACGACAGTCTCTCAAAGACACCACCAATACCATGAGCTCCCTTTCATTCTCTTTCACGTCGCGTGGCTCCGATACGCCACTCCGGCGACGACGCCCCGACCCCGAAACGGATCCGACTTCCGACCTGCCCCCGGTTCTACGGCACTTCCACGGCAGTCCGGTTCGGCCAATTCTCAGCCCAGTGGCAATCCTTATCGTTGGTGCCTTCGAACTTCGCGCCCTGTTCACACGAGACCATCCAAAAGACAGACACGAGACCATCGTTAGTCGTTTAGTCGTGCAGACGGCGCAACGAACAGTTGATTGATTCAAAGCTCTTGAATGCAACTAGGTACTCAGCTGCCACTGTTATCAGCAAAGGTCTTCATGTTACCTATGCTCCTTCATAAGCTGTCACGCTTGTATTGAGTACTCGAGTCTAAAGATCCTCATCCTGGAAGGATGTTGTCAGCTGCGAGTGTAAGTACCAATGTATAAGTACCAATGGAATCGGAGGATTTGCATCCTTCTGTGCGATTCAACCAACATGCCCAGCATCAATGTCTGGTTCTCCCTTGGCGTTTTGACCGCAACTACCCATGGCGACACAAAGTATTTCGCAGTGATTGGGAAGGGCTCCCACTGGTCACAGGGTTGCATGGAGGTTCTCGGTGGTGGAGGTTGTTCTATCTAAGCTGCCTCAAGATGTGGGTACCTTTTCTCCAAGAGGATCCCGAAAAAGAACTGATCGTGAACAAACACAAAAATGCAAGATGAGGGTCAACTAAAGTAAGATTCGTCTGGTTCCTCTTCCCCGTCACGTCGGACCGCATCCCGTCGGACCAGCGCAAGCGCTACACCGTGTGACCGGCACAGTACGACACAACGACGTTCTGCTCGGTTCGTAGCGTCCGATCGCTCCTACTAGCGATGCCCTTTGCTCCGTTCGTCGCGTCCTCTACCCCCCGCCCCCGGGCGCCATGGGAATTTCGTTCTGCTCCAGCGAGCGCTTGGCGATGCAAAGGACCCTACGGCCCTGGACCACGAGTCGGCTCCGACAGGAGCCAATGGGTCGACCAAGGGGGGGTCGAAGGAATGGACATGTTTGACCTGTCCAGTAGAGCCACATTGATATTCTCAAGAAGCTACTAGGGGCTCCTGGCCTTACTACTAACAAGAAGCTACCTATTGATATTCTCCGAAGGTAGTGCAGGGACTGGGAATCACGGGTGCGTGGGACAAGGACAGTCCCATGGATGGTTTTGGTGCGTGTGTCTGAGAGATCAACCCCAAAATATGTCCGCTTCCTGGAACTGGACGGGTGCCCAAAGGCATTGTCGTCCACCCTCATGGATTTGGATCTGGATAAATCTGGAGGAGTACTACTGGAACAAGATGGAACAAGCTCCAAAAGATCTCTTAAGCGCATAGATTGCTCCTTCCTTCTACTTCTTGGCTCCTTCCGGTAGGATGTTCGGGATGTTCGTTCTAAGACACCCTCATCGAGCCCTCGGAAGTTGGCGGTTTTCACATCCAAGTCCCCCATGAAGATGGTGTTGTCTTGACAATCATGCCATCGGACCATAAGCCCATCAAGCCATAAAACAATAACTCTGTTCGTCTCCCAGCAGTAGATCAAGCTTCGAGCACCATCGACCGAAAAGCACCCGAGGAGCAACAGGGTCAAAACTTTGCCAACCAGATCCAGGTCTCCTCCTTATACACCGCGTGCGCTGGCGGGTGGTTTTTTGCAGTCGATCCCACCTGTCCCATGAGATCTTGGAGTTGCTGCTCCACCTGGCGGGCACATCTGAGGCCTTCAAGACAACTTCAGTGCCTGGTCTGGAATTTGTTTGCTTTTCCAAGAACTTCCCCGTTTCAGATTTGAATTCCATGCGTTCCTTTTTTTCCAAGAACTTCCTGGGTCTTCGCTGGAGCAAACGAGTAGGTCGCAGGTAGATATAGTGACGGCCAAATAGATAGAAAGTCAATGTTGCCAAGAAGATACGCCTTTTGGACGCTTAGTCCTTTTTTCGGAAAGGGTGATCAAGTGTCCATCTTTGAAAATTTCACTGCAAAAACTGGAGGGAAACCAAAGGATTGAAAAAAAAGAACAGCAGGGTGTTTGCGTCGTCTATCTTTGGGGTCGCATGGAAACACACATAATAGGATGAAGCAAAATCGAGTTGATTGCCCCCATCCTTCGCCGGTTTTCCCGGGTGAAATCCATCCACACGGGCGGAAGGTGCCTTCCCCACAATGCTGGGATCGCTCTGCAGGGTGGTGTACCTTCCGGGCAGAAGAGAAAAAAAAAAACGGACAAGCCACCGACTGCTCTCGTGTCATGGGAATTCCAATGCTAGCTCCTCCAGGCTGAATTCTTTTTCTGGAAAGAGGAAATCAACTATGGTATATGTAGCTACTGCTTGTCAGGGTTGCCAAGAGGTTGTGTTTGGACCTCAAGATCCTCAAGTGAGTGGATTAAACAAATTCCCCACCAAAAGCCGTCCCTTTGCAGTGTCCATCTATTTTGATCTTGAGACAACCAGCAAACTACCACCAAAGAGCTGAGCAAAGATATTTTAAAAAAATATATATAAGAATAGAAATAAAAAGACTCCGACCAGCAATACACCATCCGCTTTCTGTTATGCCTCCTCACCGCCCCTTCAGAAGCCCTTGGAAAGACCCAGCGAAACGGACTCTATAGCGACTCTTCAGGTCTTTTCTCCATCCTTCACATATCATGTCATATCTACAAAAGGTACTTCCCCACCGACGCCCCACCGACGCCCTCATCCCTGCCGATCTCGCGCACTTCATCACCCGCTCTGGTGCTCCCTTCAAGATCTGGCCACATCGGAACCGTGCCGTTTCGAAGGGCGGTCCGCACCGGCGCCCACCGGGGCCGACCCCAATGACTGACCCGGTGGGTGGGTGATCCCAGGGAACCAGGTTGGACTGCCTTTTGATCAAGAAACAAGAAGCTAGTGGGCTGGAGGCCAGCGGCACTAGGCTGGAGGCCATTGCTATTAGGCTGGAGGCCATCGCTCTGGTCGGTTCGATCCGATTTCACAAAAAATGTCAAGACACCCAAGTCAGGCCACCAACTCATGGTTTTGGCCGCTTGGAGCTTTTTGAAACGCGTCGTTGATTGAAATCTTCAAGTCTTTTCAAGTCTTATGGGGAAGAACAACTGCACGTTCAGAGGTGGATTGTGGCCCCCAATGGACCCTAGGTCCGAGGAAGCTGGGACCGACCGACTTGGGAACTTTCACTCCAAAAGCAGCCCATCCACGGTGGACCAACGATCCCAACCCTCCAGCTCCACAAAGAGACCAAGCAGGAGGCACGCGTCTGGTCATCCACCCTCGCCACCGGCGGGTCGAACCGGTGGGATCTGCCCGCTCTGGGGCTCCTCACCGCGAAGTAGCCGTTGTTCTGGTCACCATGGATGGTCAGCATCCACCTGGGCGGGCAGTTGAGTCTATATCCTGAAGCGATGGTGCCTGACCGATAGGAACCACAGCTTGCAGCGCTCGACCGCAAAAGAGTTGTAGGCGCAGGTGTTGTGCACCACTTAGTTAAGGCACGCGTTCATTTCTTGTGTGTGTGTGTGTCCACCTCTGTAACTAAGAGTTTCTGTTTTTCTCAACTTTTAAGTCGCAGGGGGCGTGACGGTCGATTTCCTAGTCACGCCAACGAAGCTAGGGAAATCGACTGGATGGAAGTTTGGACGCAAACTTCTGTACCTGCGCGGATGAAAACTTTTGCACACGCTGTGACTCCACTTTTCCTTTTGTTGTTTCCATGGTGGTTGTTCGCATGATATCCCCCAAAACAGGTTTCCTTAGCTTTGGTAAAGTGCTAGTGCGTTTGTTAAACAGTTCTGTTCTTTGGACCCTTGCACCTTACCGTTCTTGCAGTAAAGGGCTAATGCAGTAACTAGCTTCCGCAGTCAAGTGTGAAACCACTTTGTTCAAACACCTACAAATGCTTGGATTCTTCGCCTTTCTGTTCCACCACCTTTCTTTGACTTGGGAACTGAGTTAACAGCAAACCAATGTCAGAGTGTGGGTCCTGTGTCTTGTTTTGTGTCCAAACGGAACAACCTCTTCCCGTTACTAGCTCCTAGTAGCAGTGCCCTTTGTAGCTTCTTGCTCCTAGTAGCAATGCCCTTTGTTGGGCGGTGGTAGACCAGAGCCCGCCGGAGACCAGGAGTCAGAGACCAACGGGATCGGAGACGAGACACGATTCCAATCCAGATCGGCCAACCGGGATGAGGCAAGTGGTTTTAAAATGGCGGCGCCTTTCCGCCGTGTTTCCGTATAGTAGATGATCAGCCACTCTACGGAGATTTACTGACTCTGTCGCAGGTTTCCTGACTGTGTCTTCTCCCCCCTTGGATGTGTTGTTGACGCATTGGAAAAGGTGTGAAAAGGGTAGTTTGTGGGTCGGATTTCTCTGCCTCCTGGACTATTTTGCTGAATTCTTGAGGGTGAAAAGGCCATTTCCCCTTGTAGGCTTAGAAAGCTCTTTCTGGGCCGCCTTCCCTACGTGCGCCCTCTAGTATCATCTTGTTGACATTTTCCGGGTCACCTGACAACTGCCCTTATGAGGTTTTATTGAAGCTTAGTGTGCCTGTTGGTCCAAAAGCCTTGCCTGCACTGCAAATGAACGATTTCATTGGCAATGTCAGGCTGTACAACACATAGTCGCCGTAGGAGGAAATGGAGCAAAGGACATCAGGCTAGGGGTCCTGCATGGTTTTGGACAAATACTGCGTTCCGATTTTCAGGAGGATGCATCTTTATGGGCAACCAATGGTTGCCCGGATGGATGGCTGCAGAGATTGTCTGTGACTCGGCACCGTGTTCTACACGTATCTTTTGCATTTGTTCCAATGGTGATAGCGGTAGATATTGTAACCAAGAGGTTGCCGGCGGGTGTAGCGCAGCATGCGTACGCCGGGCAGCCACGAAATGAAGGGTCTGGGTTAGTGCGGTGAATGTGTGCCTCTCTTTGGTCACCTGTAAGGAAGGACACTGATCGGCGTCTGCAAAGGGTCTGAGAGAGGGGCGACGAACATAAAGGTGGAAGAACCATGCGGTTGCAAACATCCCACATTGAGGGAATCACCCTCAGGTGATGACACGGTAAAGCCTATGAAATGGATGGTTGAAGTCCTAGGGATCCCGCAGACCGCAGACCACCCGGATCATAAGTGGCAAAAACCGAGCTGGGCTGGTTTTTGATATGAAAAAAACGAATAGTTGTTGCACAGTTGGAAGATCCAGGTGTGTGTGTGTGTATATATATATATATATACACCCTAAGAATCCTTGGACCCTCCTATGGAGGGTTTTGACCCTGCATAGCAGGGGTTTGGACCCTCAAAACCTTCACCTTTGAGGGTCTTTGATTCTTAGGGTATATGGTATAAGTCAGTACAAGATTCCCATGGAAGAAAAACGGTGCGCATCAATTGAGGTGCAGGTATAAGCAGTCGGAAGAGGGTTGTGGGCCAATCCCTCACTATACTGGGTCATGTTGCATTGCTCTGTTGATTTTCGACTCCCTCTGGGCCAGGACCCATCAAAAGACCCAAACCCCTCAAAACTGCAGTTGTTTTTGCCATGTGCACTGCCATGAAGACTCCTCAAGCCAAGGCACCTACCATCTACATAGGACTAGTGACTAGCCAGGCAGCACCCCCCCAGGGTGACACGCAAACTTCTCTTCGCACGTCCACCGGGCCATCCGTGCTTATTCTCCGAGTTGAAGGGGATCTCAAAGCATTTGAAGTTCTCAGACCTGGCAGTTGACCGAGACCAACCGAGAAAGCCGAAGAAAGCAAGGAACCAAACAGCGAACGGCGAATGTAAAAAAATGCAAAAACACATGTTAAAAACATGAAAAGACGCAAACAAACCGAGAAAGAAACGGAAAACGAGTTCTGAAGATGCTGCAATTCTCCCAGCAAAACCCATTTGTTCGTTCGCATCCTGCCTAACCCTGTCCTCACACAGCCCCCCCTTGACCTTCAAACCGACCTGAGGAGCCCGACTTTTGCTTCAACGAAGCTGTTGGCGAGGGCCCTCCCTGCACCTGACCGCGCCCCGAGTCGGTCGGCGTCGGGCGTCGGGCGTCGGCGGAAGGATCGCGCCGTGAGTTGGGCGCCGTCAGGATGAACAGATGAGACGATGAGACGATGGCGGAAGGATCCGGAGTCAAGGCCATGGAATCAACCTTCTTCCGGGATTCTCCATGAGGCGACCAGGTGGTGTCCATAGGACCTGGCCAAGCTCAGACCGCCTACTCGAACTGTGTAACAAATGACAAATGAATGGATCTGATCTGAATGGTTACCTCCCAAGAAAGATACATCCCCATCCCCGTCTTGTATCCGGAAACGCTCACTCTTCCAAAGCTTCCAGCGCTCTTTCCGGTTCCAGCGCTCTTCCCTTGAGACTACCCTGAGGAGGGGTGCTCCAAATCAAGCAAAGTTGGTCAGAATACTAGTGACTAGTGCCATCTGCTCTGTCACAAAGTTGGTGAGAATACTAGTACTATGGCAAATGTACTATGGTAAAAAGACACGGAACTCCCCCACCCCAAGGGCGACTCGACCTCCGATCAGCTCACATCGACTGGACGGCTCAGCGCCGCGACGGCCGGCCTCGGCGCAGGCCCTCAGGATCGCGACCTCCGTCGGAGAACCAGTCCTTAGGGGCCAGGTGGGCGGAACCAGCTGGTGAAAATGGACAGTTCCAAAGAAATGTGGCATCTATAGAGGGATTCTGACCCACTGGTAAAGGAACAAGAGTGAAAATACTTCCATATCCATTGGGTGATGTGGTCTTCATGCTTTTGTACCTACTTGTGGTTGGATGATCGATTAGATCCTTTCATCTGTGGCCTCAGCTGAGGCATCTGCCATCGTTCTTCCTTCCCTTCCACCTGCGCATCTCAGCTGTGCTCCCGTTGCCGGCCGAAACCGGCTTCGTCCACCGTTGGCACGGTCGAATGGTGGAATGGTCGAAGGCAAGGAGTTCTGGAAGAGTAGCAATGGCCTCCAACCTAATAGCTTCTTGTTCCTAGTAGTAATGCCATGCCAGGAGCTAGTAGCAGCTTATGTTTCCCAATTCCAGCTCTCGCTACTTGAACCACAGAGCTGATCACCCTCCCGGAACCCCAATCCGACGCCCTGTGTGCGAACAGGGGGTTGCAAACCCAGGCCGTTCCCATCGGCTCTCACGTGGGGAGGTCAACGAACAAATGTGTGCCAGAGTTTGGTACCCCTGTGCCCCTGTGTTTCTCTTTCTTGCCGTCCCTTGGCATAGTCCACAGAGGAATCGACTCAACCTTCCTCCTAAAAGCTTGTGATCCCTCCTCCTTTCCCTTCCCGCTTTTTTCGTGCAGGACATACCAAGGTGCGAGTTTCGCAGGACGCTTTGCGGTGAGATGAGTCCAAACAGATCCCAAGAGTCCGAAAAGCAAGCCTTTCGTATTTCGTACGCGGTGTCCTCCAAAAGGCCCGCAAGGGCAGCAGTTTGGACAGTTTGCTGTGAAAGAATGTAAAGTTTGCAAAGAAAACTGTCCAAAAGGTCGCAGCCCCACTAGACCAGTGGTCACCTGCGCCTTATTTGACCCTCTCTTCTAAAACGCTCTTAGTCTACCTTTTGTTTGCACCGCATTCCTGGCGTGGGCTGAAGAATGAAACCTGGATTCGTCGGCTCAATGCCTTGAACTCCGCCCCGTTGTTCAGCACGCCACACATCTGGGATGGTCGGATCGGCATGTGGAGGAATCGGAGGGTCACCGGAGTCCTGATGGCAGATGGTCAACTCATACCGAAGTCAACCCATCCAACGCATGGAATCGTATAAAGTAGCCTTCCAGGGTGGATAGAGTGTCGCTAGCCGCTGGGCACCTTCACTCTGACCAGGCACTCTGTCGCCAAACCAGCAGAGTGTCTTACAAGGAAAGGCCCCTGCAGCTCGTCGATATGTGCCGTATGAACTCCACAACAAACTCCACAGGATCCCTTGCTATTTGGGGTACAGTACATGTATGCTGGCATTAGGGCATAACTAAAGCACCGTATTGTAAAGAAAGAATGGACAGACAAGGCACCACATCACACTCCAGACATTGCCTAAATTAGCATGATGATTGTAAACAACAACCCTTTTCAAGCGGCGTGACCCTGGTAGTGGCCACTATTAACGTCCGTTATTACTTGGGTTGCTTCTCTCGGTTTGTGGCCTTACTCTCTTGAGAGTAAGATTTACTCTCTTGAGAGTAAGAAACTACTGTGGGCTCTTGGTTTATTTTAAAAACAAGAAACACAACGTCCCATATAAAGAAGTGGTTCAATCCAAATGGAAAGGTGATTAACCAAGATTCTACATTAGTATTCTTGCAACAAAAGATATGTCCTCCTCTTGCCTCAGCAAGGATTCCAACCGTTGACCTAAGCCCTTTACATTAAAGTCAAAAGTCCGTGATTCCCTCACAAACCCTTCTTGTTTCTCTGCAAACTCCGCCCACATGTGAAAAAAGAAAAAACACCCACATTATGCTATTCCCACACCACACATGTTCCAAACCGCCCGGGCTTCCCACACCAGCGACTTCCCACACCTCCGCTCGGCTTCCCCACCGAAATCTCTTCCAGCGCCGGCTGGCTCTTGAAAAGCGAAGAGTCCCGATCGCGGTTGTGCACCTCGTCACGCACGTGACTTGACCACCGACGTCGTGACCGTCCGTGACGTGAGGCTGACGCGTGACGCGGATGTGGTTGTCTGTTCGTGGTCACCAAGCTCGTGGCAACATGGAACAATGTCCCGTATTGGTTTCAGCTTACTGTGCTCTCCCAGCACCACCCAAAGAGTTGTTCTTCCATGAAAAACACATAGCCTGCTAGGTCTATAGCTGGTGCTGGTCTGACGCCACGTCACATCTGACGCCACATCCACCGCCACGCTGCAGCTCTGGTCTCAGAGTCCGAAGCCACGCGACCGGTTCGACCGGTTCGACCTCCAAGCCGAAGGTGGCGCCGGGAGATTGCACCACTAAGTCCTCAAGAGAGATCGACCGTTCCATCCGATGTCCTCCTCCTCAGCTCTCCCGTGACTGACCGACGTTCGCTCTCCCACACGTCAATTGTCCACCGAATCGAGGGGTGAGACCAAAAGCCGTGAGTTTGGGGTGGAGAAAAAGGGGGTGCCCAGAACATCACAAAAGGATTCCTGTGGAACTGATGGATTCTTCCTCCCGCCTCCCCACACTGCGGTACACTCGTGGCTAGTCGGCTAGTCGAGACCCAAACGCTCCAAGCGACCTGTGGTCGAGACCCACTCAATGAGCCTGGTTTTGTCTTGGGGCTACCAGTCACCAAAGCAAACGGGAAAAGAGACCAAGAAACAGGGTCCAACAGGGTCAACGAACCACCTCTAACATGGTCATCCTGTGTAGACCATGCCATCCACGTAACCAGCTCGATGATTGCGATGTACAGCGACGGACAGCGACGGCGACGTCTCCCTCTGCCTCTTTACGGCCGCTGAACGGTTTCGCTGGCCGGACGCTCCTGCACGGCCATCTCACCCGTCGTCAAGGTGCCTGGCATTGGTCAGGGCATGCAGGGACTGAGTTTTGCTGAGGTCGACTCATCACCCTACTAGAGACCAGCTGGGTGCTTTTGGACACTTCTTCCTCCTATATGGTATTCCTTCTGGGCCTTTCTTGAGACCACTTCAAAAACCGGCCGATGGTCTATCGTCGGCTTTTGACGCACTATAATTTGTTCAAACAAATCCCGAACTGAAATCTTAAAGGGACTTGTGACTTGTCTACACAAAGATGAAACTGCATGGCGCAGTTCTACCATGGATGTTCACCCTAGCATACCTAGTGTTGCAGGGGCTCCTATATTCGGAGGTAGGGGGGGCAAATCATGATTAATCCACCAATTCAACTCCAAACTGGGTCGCCACGGCCAATGGCGGACCCCCCCCGGCCCAGGTGTCTACCTGGTCTTATCGAAATGGGAGGTCTCTGCAAGTTTATTCTGCTCTAATACACCCATGAGTACCATGAGGCCAAAAACCTCCCATCAACCGTCATGTTGACCATCCCAAGAGCATGATGACCGTAATGCTTCAAGTGTCACGCGCAAGGACAGTTGGCAGTTCCTAAAGCCCATGAATGCTTGAGGGACCTGAATCGCGTGATCTCTCCCCCAAGAAAATAGACATCTGACATCTGAGTCTGATACATGGCATGTCCGATGTTCGCAAGAATCATCTGTCAATCCAGCACCCTGTCAATCACCCTGCAGCAGGGCCCTCCGACATCTGATACAGTCCATGAAACTGGCCTGTCTTGTCGGAGCAGAACACCGACACGCAGCCGAGGGTTTCGACCGCGTCAATCTTGCGCACGATGACCTCGGAGCGTCCCAAGGCTTGATTGGAGGGTCTTCTTCCGCAACCAGTGAGGGTGTCTGACCAGAACTTCTTTTCTTGATCAGCCTGCTTTTTCTGGAAGATCTGCCAAAACAAGGGGGTGATAGATTCATGAAGACCTAGGAACAATTGACAAGACATGATCAAGATGTCAGGAGCTGAATATGGCAAGTCTCAATTCTCCGAGCGCAAGTCTCATTGACTATCGCTGACAGGGGGCTGGGAAGAAGCATGTCACTTGTTGTGACACCAAGCCGCTTTAGTTGATTTCCTTGACTGTTGATGCCATCCAAAAGATGTTGAGGAATTCAAAGCTGAAAACAACCACCACCGACCACGATGTGGAGTCGATTCCTTTCTCTTCGTGGGTCTGTCATCGGCTGTCATGGTTTGCGGGGTACAAAGAGTCCAAAGGAAGGGAAGATCGATCAATAACTAGTCATGTCCCAAGGCCTCACATGGGTGTGGCTCAAAACCGGGCTACCCGGGTTGACCAAAGAAAATGAACAGAATGGACGACCCAATCGCCTAACCACATCCCCTGCCCCCCCCAGGCTCGAGCCCGCTCTCGCCGGCAGACGGGTCCTGTGTTCCGAACTCAAACCCCAGGGAGTCGGACTCTCCCTATTTTAATCTGCTAGTAACAAGTGCCACGCTACTAGGAGCAAGAAGCTACTAGGGGCTCCTGGCCTTACTAGTAGTAACAAGAAGCTATTAGACTATTAGAAACAAGTGCATCGCTAGTCACAAAGGGCAGCGCTACGAGCGGAGCAACTGGGAGCTACTTGCTAGTAGCTTCCTGGCATGACTACATGGCTGGTAACGAGTACCTTCATCCGCAAAACTCGAGGCGGCAACACGGCCGAACCTCTTTGTGATCCAATTCACCTACCATTCGAAGGCATCAAAGTTCCTGTAGACTCTTGATAAAAAAGCAAAAATAACATAAAATAACACCATTTGGATGCACGAACACTGGATTGTAAAACCAGTTACCTGTGGGGGGTATATATCAATCTCTACATTTCGGAGCCTCTTCGACCAGGATCGCACATGGTTCGCTCGTCTCCCCACCACCCGGCGTTCCGGGAAGCATCTTCGACCAGGACAAGGGGCATTTCGACTGGCCATCTGGTCGGAGGCAATCATCAAGGAAATGGTCACAGTGGGCAAAAGGCCTTCTGGCACCTGCAACCGCTTCGAAAGTGTGACTCTTGCAAGAAATCGTCAGAAACCCGCCCGGGATACGAGGTGACTTAGAACTTGCATGGGTTTTTGCATCAGAGCAGCGCACACACTCCGAGAAGTTATGCAAAGTTTGATGGCCACTTGGCCACCTCCCAAGGCTTAGCAGCGCCAACAGCAGCCGAAGGCTTAGCAGCCTCACCCGCCCAGGGATGGACACATGCCATCGCCGACCAACTCCGACGTCCACCGATCTTGCCGCCCCAAACCGCTCCAAACCTGAGAGAAACCGGCGTTCGCAGCGTTTTCCACGGGTTTCGAAGCGTGTCATCCTTGGCCTGGCCCAGGTAACCGCGCCTGTGCGAAGAGGGCTGCGGCGCTACTCTGCAGGATCTCCGCGGGTCCGCGCTTCACCGGACTGAGGAGATTGGCCAAAAGGCTCAGAAGGCCTGGCATGGGTGGCATTGGGGCACTGGCGGCACTAAAAGAAAGGGGGAGGAGTCGAAGGTGGGTGCCCAACATCAAGAAGATGAATCTTGAAAGCTGCGGAGTTGTGGAAAAAGCGGTGATGGTCAGCTTTGTGCCTCCCCTCCTTTTGAGGGCCGCCGAGCCGCCTAACCTGTTCACTGGTTCTTCAGCAAAGCCACGGCTCACGGCCCTTCCCCACGTCCATCACCCTCGGGGTTCCCAAGCGAACCAGTCGAATGGCACGGTGCACGGGGACTCGTTCCAGCTGGGCATCTAGAAAGGGCAGCGCTGGGTTCACCAAGAGAGCTTCAGTGACCTTATAGGCCCCGTAACCTGGGGTACCTATGGGCTGGTCTAGAGGGCCTATAGGGTTCTTCAACCAACTGTTGGCATGCTTGACAATACCTGGATCTTATTTCTTACTATGCAAATTGGTGTGCCAACCTTGGCTGGTTTCAGAGATGAAATGGCAGAATTGTTGCACGGTGCACGTATGTTGGAAGATCCAGGTCTGTGTCTGCCTTTGGGTACAATTCTCCAATTCCATTGGGATACTCCCAAATGTCGGCTGATTCTGATTCATTGAGCCACCTAACCAACCTGCCTCCCCTCCCTTCACCTCTCCTCTACCCCCCTTCCAACAGTGGAATCTCCTACCGACCCGCAACGGGCGGTCCCGCCTACACAGATGGCGACCACGGCAATGATGTGGACCTGAAGCTGGGGGATGCTGTGCTGCTGGGCCTTCAAAGGCGGGAAAAGAAGCTGTGGATGTGGGCTTGCCCCCATGTGGTTTCGTTCGAAAATGAAGAAAAAGAGGTGCAATTCCGGCACACCTCACTTCAGAAATGGGAACATGACATGGGCCCCTTCTTTTTCTTCCGAGACCGGGAACATGCTGTGGACCGATTCGAAGAGGATCCGGCTGGGTAGACGTTGGTAGGTCGCCATTCCCTTCCCGGTAGGTCAAACTGGGAAGTCTACCACACCGGGTGACAGTCGGAGGGTCTGTTTTCATCAACGAAAGGAGTGGGCAGCTGGAAAACTGACAGCTCGTGCTGACAGCTGGCCATGGTATGGTGTTTCTTCTCCCACCTGAGAGATCTGGTCGTTACATTCTTCATCCGCTTCATTTGGTAAATTAGTTGTTTGGGTGAATCCGCCGTTTTTTTGGCAGGTGACCAGGCTGAATAAACAATAGACTTTTGGCCCCTGCATATGACTTGTCACAAAATGATATATCTATATACTCTGTTCTGTTCACAGAGTACTGCAGAGGTGACCGGGGAAAAACAGCTGAAGACCAAATGCCTTCAACATCACTCAAGCATCCCATCCGCACAGACCATGGCCCTCCAATGGTGCACAAAACAATCTTTACCAGGAACTTCAGTGAATTATATATTAGATGTTTTTAAAGCCTCTGAGGTTCCAGGCATCCCCTGCACACCTCTAACATTCTTAGGTTGTTTCCAAAACTGTTTAATTGTGTCTAAAATTGTCTAATTTGTTTCTAAAAATGTTTCTATAATTGTTTAATTGTTTCTAAAATTATTTCTAAAATTCTTTAATTGTTTGTAAAATTGTATAACTTATATAAGTTATGTCACAGAGTTCCATCATGTTCCATCCGTTTCAAAAGACACATCCAAACTGGTGACCACCGCGGCCAGACCTTCCAACCTTCCTCCCCTGCGGCCCTGGGGACGAAGTGTTCGATCTGGATTTCCAAAGTGGACTTCACCCTGGAGGACTTGATGCCTTGCGGCTGAAACAACGCCGCACCGGCTCCCGACCGCGCGATGCGGCGGAACACGAGACCCGGGACGTGCGGTGGGGTGGGGGTGCGAAGGCGGGACGAGGCGGGACGAGCCGGACGAGAAGTGGATGAAGCTTCATATCTGAAACAGCAACTGTTTTCCTTTGGTGTTTCCAACTGTCGCAGCGATTGGGATCAATACCACTCAAGCTGAAGGACTGGAGGAATCTCGCTATGGGTTGAAGCTGGCATGCTGGTACGCCCCTATCGATTTGATTCCAAGAAACACTGCGAAAGTCGGAATGGCAGCACCTGCCCCTTGCTCTCTACTCCTAGCAGGCACACACAAAACACCGATCTGACTCACATGCTGTGCCCTTGGAACTGACTGGCATTTCCCATCCATCCGGGTGGAGCTGTTGGTGCTTATGCCGCACTACAACAGCAACTTGTCCTCACCGCGAGATGATAGAACTACTTCACTGCCTCTGAAGGTCTTCACCCATCCTGATGGGTTTTGTGGGGGGGGTCCAGAAAAAGAAAAACGACGCGCCCCGCCCGCCCTCCTCCGTCGTCCCAACCGTCCCAACCGTCCTCCGTCCCGTCCCAACCGTCCTCCGTCCCGGCCCGCCGAAGAACAACGGAGCTCCAAGCCCGTCGGAGCTCCGGTGCCTTGGGCGATCTTGCCCAAGAAGGTCGCGTCGCCCGTGGCGTGAATGAGGCAGGTGGCATTGCCCTGCGGACCGGGACCGAGGCAAGGCCCCCTTCGGGACGAACAGACATGGAGCAGCGTACAGCAGGGGTGCGAACGCGTGGATTGGAGTGGTCAAGCGCAACAAGTTCTCTTCCCAAGCCCTGCAGTGCCCATCCATGCTGAAAGATCACACGTGAATTGTGCAAATCATGGATGCACATCGACCCAGGGTTCTGGCCAGTCGGCTTGGATTTGCTGGACTTTTCAGACCAAATCTGAACAGACCTGCATGAAAGACTTAGCAGTAGCTACAGAATGGTCCCAGTCCCACTCGAGAAGTTCTCCAAGAGGTGGCCTCACACGACCCTGTCAGCAGTGCTGACCAGCGTGGCAGCCCTCTTCCGTGTTCCAGAGGAGTTGACACAGCAGTTCCTCCACTTAGAGATCTCCCCATTGGCTTCACCCTTCCCCCAAACAGCGGCCTACCCCATCGCTTCCCCCACCCGGAACTCGAAGATCGCCCGCTCGCGTGGCCCGGCGAGCGGGTGTCTTCCCGCGTGGCCCGCAGTGGCCCTCCGCTCCTTCAGGACGGTGGTCCCGAAGAAGGCCAGGTTCCGAGCTTCGGGTGGTGGGCAGGTCACCTGGCGTGTGGTCTTCGCAGCCGCATGCCATGCAGCGTAGCCTATGGCATAGGTTCAGTAGAGACCAGGGTGGTGAAACCGAGCCGGTCGGTCAATTCCTTGAGAAATGGGTGGGGTGAGGCATGCAGACGGTGAATTCCCTGGTGATACCCATCCCGCTATATAACCTGGGGTTTGCTTGACCTTGGGAGCCATAGGGCGGTTCGACATGCCTTCTTTGCATGCCTTCTTCAACGGTGTCCAAGTTGTGATTGCCATGAACATGGGGCTGACATCATGTCATCTCTTTGCCAGGAAAGATTCCAGTGATGCTCCGCCATGGTACCTTAGGGTGCCTTTCAATTTAGGGAAGATCTCCCGAGAACATCTGTGGATCCTTCCTTTACCGGCATTCGGTCTGTGCTCCCGTGGTGTAGGACAGAATTTTGCACCCAAAGCCAGCTGCCCTAAAAGCCTATAAAGGCTATGAATCGTTGGATCCGCAAATCTGTCTTCTGTAGACTCTTGACATCATATCTCTTGATTATATATACCTCAAGTGCCCGGAGCCTGAAGAGATTTTACCATCCCAACGGTGGGTTCCAAACAAGGGGGTTGAAATATCAAGAGTCTTCTATAGTCTGCATGAGTTTGGATAGGTGAAACGAGTCGTTTAAGCTCCTCACCTGCATGACCCCCACCCTCCAAACCAACTCACGGCCCTATCTCACCGGCTCCGTCTTGTTGTGGCGCGGTTCCGGCATGGACTCACCCGTGAGTGCGCTGTTGTCCACCTGCGGTTTCTGCGGAGCGCTCACGCGCGAAGTACACGCGCTAACGAGAGTACTGCACGTCTTCGCGAACGGAAGGAGTGGACCAGGTTGAGCGTGGAGCGGGGAGCGAGTGGCTTTTTTCGCTGGGCGGTGGGACATGGTCCATGGCCCGAATGAAGGAGGTAAACAAAATGGACCAAAGGCTTAGATCCGGTAGATGTCTTAACTAGTAGCAGTCTCGCCAGTCTCGATGCAAACCTGAATGAAAAACCTGGTTCCTGAGGTGCCTTCACTGCCCAGGAGTGACAGTATCGTGATTCTACTTTCACCCTGCGTAAAGTCAGTCACGCACACTTCCTCACCTCGGATGGCTCCTGATCCTTTGCACACCAGCTTCTATCAAACCAAGTGTGATAATGTGGCTCTTGTTGATCGGAGCTTCGGCATTTCCTGCACCCTGCCAACTAGATATTCTTGCTCACCGGGCAACTACCCGGAATGCATCCAATCCACCCGGCTTGAGATCTAGTAGGGAGCGTTTCAGGGTCCAATCCGTGAAAAAAACAGCACAAGACCTATGGATTCTGCTTGACCCTACAATGTTTCTGTGGGAAACTGGTGTGTGCTCACGGGCATCGGCATGTCCAACTACAATGAGACTTCCAGAGCTTCGTGAGTTTGTCAATCAGCTAAGTGACCTGGACACCGCACTTCAATCCGTACGCTATTCACCCCTTGTCCCGACAAACATCCAGCAACCCTGCCGCCCAGTGGAACAAAAGTATTCACGGAAATGGGACGAGAGGGAAACGGAGGGCGATATATGGAGCCTAGCCTAGCAGCCTAGCGGCCATCTCCGTGGTAGCCGCAAAGTCTATTTCCGTGCTCAAGTGCAACGGTTAACACACCATCATCAGCCGACCTCGGATGCGCCACTCGGCCCCACCGAGAACATGGACGGCACCTCGGTACCGTCGGTGCAGTGCAGGATCCGCACGTCCGCGGGGATGCGGTCCCCAGCCTGGGGAGCAGTCCGGAGCGGGGGGGATTGGGGGAGGGGCCCCGGAAGGTTGGGAGGCAAGAGAGATCCCCAACAGCTGGGGTCTGTTGATCCGTTTGCGACATGAGCAAGTTTATTGACAAGTGGCGTGTGTTTGTTAGACACTAGTGCTTCGAAACATGGCCCAATTTTCGCATCTCAACGCCACAACGGGTACCCACATCCTGTAAGCAGAGCACGTCGTGAGAGCCCGTCGGCCTTCTATCTCCGCTCAAAGCCCAACAGTCAAGTTCTAGCCCTTGAGGCCTGACTTCAACCCTGTTTCAGGTCCTGTGAAGATCGAACTTGACTTTGAAGCCTCAGTGGCTCAAACCAATCTCCCCCCAAAACCCACCAACTTCACCACATTCCCGACACCCCCCCTTCAGCGTCGCTCGACCATGTGGCCTGCAGGAAGATGATGTCGCCTGGAACGAGGTTCACCGGATCCAGCTCCAGGTCGACGCGTCGGCCATGGTCCATCCGTACCTGTTGGCCGAATCCGTGTGGGCCTGGGGTCACCCCGTCAGTGGGTGAAAGGAGGTGTCTCCAGAATTGGGCCAAGCTCTGCTAAGGTTGGGAGTGCGGCCAACATGACCCAGTTGAGCCAGTCAGTGTGCAATGAATGCATCTGGATGGTTTTAGAGAGGTTTCAATCAAGACGTTTCGAGAGTTTCTTCCGCCTCTTTCGAGGACCTGACGCTGTACCCTGCAAGACGTTCGTATAGGACATCTCCGAGAGAGGTCATTCAGAACGATGTCTTGACTCTCTTTGGAAGATGAACCTCAAGACACCTAGCAGCACCAGACACCTAGGACTAATGGAGTCCTGGAGCCTTTGTCCAACGGATGCAGAGAAAAGAGGTCCTTGCACAACAGGAATTCCTGCTCTTCAGGCTGCCAGCTTGAGTTGCAAGCAGCTAGGCCCCTGTGTTGTCGCAAATCCTAAAGACGACGACGCATGTACGCATGTCTGCAAAGCAACCAAACAAGGGACCACCTGAGATGCCTTGGCCATCTGGTTCCTTTCCTCCGAAAGGACGCCGGACCAAATCGAACCTCTCCGCAGGTGACCCCACGGACCCACTCTCCGGCGCACTGTTGGCACCTTGGATGCGGCCTGCCGACACTGCGTGGGAGACCGACCAACGGATGGTCGATGCACCGAACCCAGGACGGGGAGTGCTGGGTTCATGTGCTGCATCTGGAAGGGACCCAGTGACGGGGAGGACGCTAGGTAGGTCCCTAGATGATGGACAGGAACGGACCGGCATGAAAGAGATCCCCCTTGATAGTTCCTGAAAGGAACTTCCGTCACGAAAAGAGATCAACTCATGCTCTTTGTGTCACATGAATGGTGCATGAAAACTCTGACATGAGGGGACGAGCCCTTCTGACATGAGGAAATGGTCCCCACCACACCTGGAAATGTGTTCAAGCTTTTCCCCATGAACCCTGGTAGTTTTGCTTCCATCCACCACACAAACCCAACGCGCTTCCAGAAACCAAAACAGCACACACCGGCCCCACCGGCCCACAACGACTCGAAGCCTGGGCTTCCTCAACCACTCCGGGACGCACCGATTCCGTGATGTCCAACCGCGGAGACCCGGTTGTCTCACCGGGCGTTGGTTTTGAAACAATCGGAATCGACCAAACTTGATGGGGTAGATGGAACCGCGGGGGGGGGATGGGGTGGAATCAGCTGCCTTGAAGATGGATCATATGGAATCATTCACTGATCCCACTCTCTCCAAGTTCAAACAAAGGAGAAATTCTCTGCTCTCTCACCCGGTCGCCTGCAGCTTCTGCATGGCTTCCATTTGAGATTCGGCCTGGTTCACGTGGATACGAGCGCGAACTGTTTGCGTGGGTTCGACGGAGAAGCGTTCCGCGCCCAGCAAACCCGGCTTTGAGGTCCAAAACTCTGGACCAAAAAGTGGGATGACTCCAGTTTTTACAACAATCCCAGCAGAGGTTGAAGAACCCTATAGACTATAAGGTCACTTGACCTCTGTTGGCCAGGCCTCCATGTTCGAGACGAAAAAAACAAGACAAACAACCTTCAACGACCGGAAAACAGGAATTCTACGGGTGAGTTGTTCTACTGAAATCGACTGAGAGTTCAGGGATCCAACACGTAGAAGGGAGTCATTCGAGGCCCGTGTTTACGGGGCGTGACCATCCACCAGTCTAGGCGCATGTGCTTTCACTCTAAAGGCAATCCTGAGCTGCCGGTTTATAGTGAACCGCAGGTGGTTATCCTCTAAGAACAGATTGAGAGCGGGACATACATGGGTTAATCAGGAAATTGGTACCAATCGAGGTCCGCAAATAGAATATGATCAAGAATGTGATGTCTCGCAACGTTTAATCCAGCTTAATCTCCAATGTGTCCCACCCGCGAATCTGCTTGAAGGGTTCTACTAGTAGCAAGAAGCTAGTAGGTTGGAGGCCATCGCTACTAGGAACAAGAAGCTCTAAGTAAGAGAGAGAGAGAGAAGGAAGAGAGAGAGAGAGAGGAAGAGAGAGAGAGAGAGAGAGGGAGAGACAGAGATAGAGACAGAGACAGAGACAGAGAGAGAGAGAGAGAGTTTCAGCTGTTCCCCAGTCCGCCCTGCCGCCCTACTTCCACTGACCTGGATGGTGACGTGAGGCAGCCTGCCTCTTTACCCCACTTGCCTTCAGCTCGGAGTACCACTGTAGCAACGCAGCCATAACGATCACAGCCCTCAGTGAGGGTAGGCAGTAGTGGTGTGAAGCGGAGGCGGTAGTGGGGTGGTGTACTCCTACCCGCAAACAACACACTAGTACTAGTACTAGTACTAGTACTAGTACTAGTACTAGTACTAG